ATTCCCAGGGGGTGTACTCGGGTGGGTAACATGAAGGGGGGGGGGGGGGGGGGGGGAGGGACAAAAAGGAAAAAGAAAGAAAAAACGAAATATATTCCATTCCATTCCATTCCATTGCCTTCCATACTGTTCCATTGCAGTTTCATACTGTTTTTACTTTTCCGGCTGACGTCGCCGTCGTATAGACTCATAGAAAACTCGTCATCGTAGTCTAATTGTTAATTAGAGCACTTACAACTTCTTTCATTAAAACATTCGAAAATAATGAAAATATATGCAACTTAATTCGGAAAACTATTAGGTCGCAAAATCTATTGTCTTGAGAGATAGCATTCGCCAAAAAAATCAGGTCAATACAATAACAAACATAAGGAATGCACGTATTTCGGTCTGATAGGGTAAGCCTGTGACTGAGCAGGCATGCAGCAAAAACCACTAAACTTTTAACGTTTTAGTGAAAGTCTATAAATTATAATTTCACTTTCTTGATAACAAAAGTGATTAAGTGATATTAAATTAGCGTCTTGTTTGTATAGTTACGTCATATACTCAATGATTTATAGAAAGAAAATTGTTTGGTTTGATCATGTAATTCAACTATGGTTTCCTGAACTTCCTTTATTCTGCTTTTGCTAGAACTCGTGCTTACATGTGAATCTATGTGTGCGCCACGGCAGTCAATCATTTGCACGAAAGAGAATATTAAGTAAGAGAGCACATCTCCCATACATGGGTCTGTAACCATGAAATTAAGTTTTTTGAAAATCTATTTTTAGCTCCTCGCGCAAGGCTGAGCTATTTTTAGCATAAGATTCCTGATTGTTCAGAGAGATAGTGACTTCAATGTGAGCGAAAAATGTTAATTAGTTTCCGACGAGAAAAATGCCTTCAAAATCAGTAAAAAGTTGAAATTAAACTATCATGTATTCTTCATAGACGAATTAAACRTTAAACTTAATTGGTGTAAAAGAACATCGATAAAGATCAAATCGCGTCTCGGTAAATATTCCCCGATATTCACTTCGCCTTCAGCGAATAATTGTTAAATACTATACTGATTGCTTCTTTCTATTATATTGGCCAGTTTGATATTATTCACCAATTGAGTATGCGCAAGTATTTATGCGAGGTTAATGATAATCATAACTTTAGAAGTTTATACATCAGTGATGCTATTAGACTTGCATATTTGGGCTTCAATCAGTGATTGCAATATATTTGATAACTTTAGTCGGATTTGACCTTAGCTGTATGTAAAGATGTAGAACTCACAATAAATATCACAAACGACACAAGGTCTCCCCACAAGGGCCCCCAAGCCTAAACTTTGTCATTGCTAGAGCGTATTATTCAAACGAAAACTTATTTAATAGACCTTTCGCTCAGTTTATGAATGTTTTCATCATCATTCTTTCATCCAACGAAAAATTAAAGCGATCCCAGTCGCATTTCGCCTGTTTTGAGTTCATTTATAATCATTGGTAGTTTCCTGCGCAGTAAAAAGCCTTATTTTAGCAATAAGAGAGTTTACCTACCTGCTGTTCTCTTCTCCTCCTTCCCGAATGCGTAGACCAAAAAGCCCGCCAAAACTGTTTTTGGAAACCGGAAGTGTTCGGCTAATCATCGGATAGCTTCGGATTAGGTAGAAAAACAAAGCCGACGAGATATTAAGGTGACTGCCTACTTTTGAACGTTCGATTTGAGCCCACGATGTGCGCACGCTCAACTAAAACCACTGAATATTGAAGAACCATACGCGGTTAGGTTATAGGTTATATCAATATTTTAGAAAAAGTTCATATTTCTAACACATGAAAAAATGAATTTTTGTAGGGATTTTTGTTCGACTCTATGAGACTTTTTAAGAGCACCGAAACTACAAAATATGACAAATCAATGTATTTCTTTGTCTTTTTGTCGAAAATATCCATGTATTATTGTAGAATGATTGACTAGCCGTGATTCGTGTAATCATATAATCTGCAAATAACTATTATCTTATGAATCTTAATTTTTTTCCTAATCACTTCCGGTGGCGCAAGTTTTGCTCCAAAAGCTCGCGCGTAGGCTTCCATTAAATGCTGATTATGTCGAAGACAAGCTCGGGACACCCAATTTTTCTGTCCAGATTTGGAATCAGCATTATATTTCAATTCGAAAAATCAAAGTTTTAAAAAAAGTGTATAATTTTTAATATATATTTTACTCTTTATTTAATATTTCATCGCTTGGACCCGATCTGTTTACAACAGCTAKTTAACTGATATTTTTACGCTGGCAGCCAGTGGTTACCATCAGTGAAAACCTCTTCATCATCCATGCTAATCAAATTTTTACGTTTACACTGTGAACACGGGCCTTCAACATCTTCTTTACTATTGACTTTTCGTTTGTGTTCCCTCGCATTATGCTTGTTTATTTTGCGTTGTTTCTTTTCGCGGACAGCGTCATCCTGAAACATTATTGTTACAACAGATGTTAAGACATAGAAAAAGTATTTACTGGGTGATATTGACAGTCCCCCACCCTCTTTCGCGGTTTAGATAAGATTTCTAGATTTTGGACGCGTAATTGGTGACTTTTTTTTTCCTTTTTTTATATATATAAGTTCTACTAATTGTTGTAGTTCTCAAACCCGCACTAATCGGAACACGTTTCCATGTAATCCCACACACTACATCTGCTTTCATCGTTCTATGACACTCAACACCTCAAAACCTCAAAACTGTCATACGTTCTTTTTTTAATTCTCTACTTTCCAATACCCATAATACTTTGCGGCTTTGTGAGATAACCAGAGTAAAAAAAAAAAAAAAAAAAAAAAAAATAAAAAAAAAAAAAAAAAAAAAAAAAAAAACGCTTTGATCAGACAATATTGAAAATACCTCGTTTGATATCCAAATATGAAATTGATATAATGGACAAGTGGAAAAAAATAACATAAAAAGATATAAGCTTGAAGAAGCCTCCAAACCAAACCAAACCAACACCTTACCTCTTGATGTTCTGTACGCGCAAAATTGACTCGGAATATACTCATAATCATGCAGTATTGCACAGATAAAAGCAAGTATAGTATATATTCAATTGGATCATGAAGCACGTTTCAATTTGGACAGTTTTTCTTATTGGTTACCCCATGAAGCAAAGCATTATGGCGCTATGGGAAAGTAGAGAATACCCTGCAATCAAGTTTCGGGAGCTTTGACTGCCATCTCAATCCAACTTTGAGCGTCCAATTTTTGACATTCTTTGTTAATTGTATCCATATGTAAAATGTAGGTCGGCCGGATTGTGTTGCAATTAAGTGAAACATTTTATATATATAGCTTGAACGAATAATGAATGATAATCTTACTGTAGTGCCTTGAATCGTCCATTGAGGATAATCGTTGGCTTTGACCTTTTTTCTTTTCCTGTCTGTTGAAACAACTGAAGCCTCTTCTCTACAAACTCTGCTTTGGATACCGCTGGCAAGAGCATCTTCGTGTTGGCTTCTCAACTCATTAGCTCTATTTCCCCAATTGAGCTGCGATGCTTTATTACTGCAAGTTGAATCAGTGCTCGCTTGCTCAGCGGATTTCTGCGCATGCGGCTTGCTCCATTGGTATGTACAGCGCTCTATCTCTAGTGGGTCCATGACGATGTTATCCTCTTTCAAATCATCAAAGGATAGCTTGTTATCCATATTGATCAAAATATYATAACCAACTGCATCTGATGCTTGGGTAGGTATTCGGTGTGTTTTGTCTGGAATGATATCTTGCCATGGGTTATAGTCATATTTCCCGAAACTTCGGTAATCCTTGTCATGCTTTAAAAGTAAAAGTAAAGCCTTTGTCAAATTCCTGACCCCTTATAATTATTGGTATAAATCCCAGTATTCTCGAAAATACTTTCGCTACACGTACAATCCTGATCCTGAACAAAAGTATTGGGACAGCAACATAAAATTACATAAAATTGTTCTTTTCTTTTTGGCGATTTAAAAGAATACTGTCTATTTGGTCAATCTTTCCGAAATCGTTTCATTACATCATACTCAGTATTGCACATAGGAAACGTGCGTCATGTAAACGAAGCTTACTTTTTTGAGGATTATTTTATATTTTATTTCTACTTGACGCCGTACTAAGTAATATATCTGATCCACATGGTTTGGCTCGAACTTATTTCCTAGAAACATCAAGTTTCAGATAAAATAAAAAGATCTTACTATTAGACTTTCCAAGAAGCCGGCCACTGCCGACTGAGTCGAAGGATTAATAATCAGTAAATTAAAATCTAATAATAATAATACTGAATAATAATAATAATTATTATTATAATAATTTAATACTTATATTGCGTGTTACATAGGAAGATGCTCACACACGCATTACAAACTGATATAGAAATTTAAAAATATAAATTATGATCTGAACATATACCATGTAGGCCCGTTGCATCAACTCCAAAGCAGCGCAACCAGGAGGGCAAGCAACGAACTGGCCATAAGGTAGTGTCTATTGCTCTTGCCACCAAATCACGCCCAACAGGAGTTGTTGCAAGGGGTCAATGGATAATAATAATCATGGGTGTGTATGTATACATATATACATATATATATATATTCAATCTAATTATAAACCTTATCAGCAAAATGCTTATTGAATAAATGCGTTTTAAGCAGCTTTTTGGATAATTGCGTGCTGATGGCAGTGCTTTTTTTCTGCTGGGAGGGCGTTCCACAGCTTAGGCGCAGCAACTTCAAATGCGCGGTCGCCCAGAGTGGTTAAAGATTTAATTCTTGGTCTCTCGAGCAACAGCTCTTTGGATGATYTTAAATTGTATCGTGATTCTGCCTTAGACTTAATGAGTTCAGTGATATATTCAGGTGATAGCCCATGAATAGCCTTATAGGTAAAAGTAATATCTTATAGTCTATTCTGTATCTAACGGGTAGCTAATGTAGTTTGTGCAAAGCAGGAGTTATGTGATCAAATCTACTGATATTACAGATAAGTCGGGCCGCAGCATTCTGTACTCGTTGAAGTTTACATAACTGATTGGCCGGTAGAGCATAAAGGAGACTATTACAATAGTCTAGTCGACTAGTAAGTAAAGCATTAGCTAGAGTTTGCACAGTATCATAGCTAAGGAATTTCCTGATACGTCTGATGTTAAATAAATGGAAGGAAGCTGCTCTACAGCAGTTATTAATGTGCGAGTCCATTTTCAGGTGCGTGTCGAACCAACAGCCAAGGTTCTTCACTTTATCAGATGGTGCATTGGTTTCATTTCCGACGCACAGCGACTCGACGCTTACTTTTGCCAATTGTTGCTTTGTTCCAATTACGATGAATTCTGTTTTTTCATCGTTCAGCTTCAATCTATCCGCTTGCATCCACCTCCTGATGTCTGCTATGCAGTCTTGCATTGCCATGATAGCGGCAGCTTGTTCAGTAGTAGAGGATGGTCTTATGAAATGTATAACTGAGTGTCGTCGGCATATGCGTGGACGTCTGGAAGATGCGTCGTCAAGATGGTAAACAGCTTACTTGCGTAGATGACGAACAGGAGTGGACCGAGACAGGGACCTTGCGGAACACCATGATTCACTTTATTTACTTATTTATTTTTGTTGTCGTAGTTGATTTTTTTTCTTTCCTTTTTATCTTCTTCTTCTTTAGATGAATATTTGTGGGCGGCGACGAGGTGTGTGCGCTCGCCTCTCATGCGACCCGAGCTCGAGTCCCACCGGGTTCGGTGTTGTATGAGTAGAGTTGTTTGTTGGTTCTCTTCTGTGCTTCGAGGGTTTTCCTACGGGTTCTCTGGTTTTCCTCCCTCCGCAAAAATCAACTTCTAAATTCCAATTCGATCACGGAATGAGGGCCACAGGTTTGTTAGCGACTGGCTATTAAGTGCTACCCTCGTGAAAAAAAGGACAAAGAATGTGATGCGTGCTCCTCGCACTCCTCCCCATTGATAATAGGGAGTTAAGATGAGGGTGCCCGATTGCCAATTAACTAATAATTGTTAGGTCAATTGTCAGTTAACTATTACTTGAATAATTTTACAAGCGCTGACTATAATATTAACCAAAATATATATAGTTAAAATATCGGTTAAATGTCAAATGTTATACTAGCAATTTTAGGTTATTCGTGTTAGGCCTCGTTTACAGGAAGCCGGATTTTTTTTTATCCGGGTAAAAAAAATGTGCGTTTGCATCCTTCTTCTTGAAAACGGGGCCTTTAGTCAACTACTGCAGTCAACCGGCACTACTGCCAAGCGTCAGATAACTGTTACCACTGTATGCATTGCTACACGCCCGCCAACTTCATTGTTGCGTTTGGCGATTTTCAGCCGTCAGTCAAATCAAGCCTTTGTGGAGTACGTGGGGCGCCATTTTGTTTACGACGGCAAAATGGTCGCGAATTACCCTACGGCTCTACGATGGAGAGTGGTGTATTTATTAATTCAAGATAATTCAAGCTGCCGAGAGATCACAACTGTCCTAAAAGTCAGCGATAAATCTGTCAAGAAAATAAGACGGCTTTATTTCAACACCGGCTCTGTCGAGTATCCCAAACGGCGGGGGAAAGCAAGACAGTTAGACAGTATTATGAAAGTATGAAAAACGGTGTCGTCAGTTATATTGCTCACTTATAATTATTACCATGTAATTAGGACGATTTGATTTGATTGACGGCTGAAAACCGCCAATCGCGATCGCCAAACGCAACACTGAAGTTGGCGGGCGTGCAGCAATGCATACAGTGGTAAATCCCATTCACACCCTCATAATCGTTGATGGTTGTTCATTTTATTTTAACCTATACTACACTCAAACCTTTACGATTTTGTCGTGAAAGATAACTAAAAAGTACCACCATATAGAGGGACTTCACGATCCAGTACACTGTGTTATGACACCGATATAAATTTTCACTGATTGGCAACCTGTCAATATGTGCTTTAAAAATCACATGAACTCACTGATTTACCTGTTTCTTTGCTTGTTCATCAACTGCAGTAGCTCTTGAATTCAGTTCAAGAAATCTATAACGTGAAAAAGTGTTTGATTAAAGATCCACGAAAAAAATTGTTATAGGACGACCTTGAAAGAGCCTTAGTCAGTAGTTGTTCATGTTGTGCAATGTCTATTGTCTAAAGCCACTGGGCAAGTACTGTACAAAAAAATGAGAGATGCAGCTTTGCAGGAAGTGATACAAGACTTTGTTTGGTTTAGTTGTTGTAGTTTTTTTTTTTTTTTTTTTTTTTTTTGCATGTTTTCTTTTCTTTTTGTTCTATTTTCCTTTCGAAGTCAAAAAAATGAACATTGCATTCAATGAGCAAAGCATTCTAGATTTAGAAGGAAAATTTTTTTTAGAAACCATTTCGAGTTGATGTTCAGTAATTCCAAGTTATTGAAACAATCTCACCTTTCCCGCCCAGGTGCCTACCGTACTTATTGTCGGTAACTAGATAAAATAGAGAATTATTCAACCTAGCAGTGCACATAAATAACTAAATAAATGCAATTACCCTTGATATCGGTCAGCAAAGATGTTATTCATGACTTGCTTGCTCCAGGTTTTAATGAATCAATCACTTAAATTCGTTTATGACGTAACACTGACGTCATAAAGGCCGACGCAACGAATATTCTATATTTATGATTTTCTTAGGTTGCTCCCACTCTGGGCTGCTCCAATCGGTTGCTCCAGGGTTCATTGCATTTTTGCTTTGTTTTTATAAATTTTAATTTCCTAGAGGGCGAGATCGACTGGTTTGAATTATACACTTAAAATTTCTTTTATGACGCACTACTGACGTTATAACCAGCTGATCTGAGAGAAATTGTTTGTCGATCAGAATCGAGAAAATTCGTAGTATTGAGTTTGTTTGTTTTTTGTTTTGTTTTTTTCAGTTTTGCTCTTTACATTGTTTAATTTCCAGGCCACCAAAATAAAATTAAAAATAACTATTGGAAATCGCATTATCTCGAGTACAATTCGGAATTTATAGACTATGAGATAAATTTATTGGAAGTTTTCGAAATTGGACGAGCCTTTAGACGTGTCCAATTCAGTTGAGAACTTTCAAAATACGCTTCATGATACCTAAGCTTTGCAGGGACGTCATTAATTTCTACCTCAACGTTTCAGATCTTATAGTACATTCAACAAAATTACTCGACTCCGATTGGTCGAGAGGAGTACAATTATAGCGTTAATTGTACTCCGTAGGAGTACCGAATTAAGTCGCTGTGGCAACACGGCCAAAACAATGTCAAAACAATTATTTTCTATCATTTTGTACTTTAAAAAGCCGTAAGAACTGATCTTTTTTATGCATTTCAGTTACGCGATGGACTGAAAATCGGCCGCCAAATAGATAAAGATGAACGGCGTCGCTTCGCATTTTATATTGAAATTTTGTTGAGTGAGCTATAAACAAAAAATCGCACGATCTTCTCGTACAATTTGGAATTAATAGACACTCGTAATGTTTTGAAAGTTCTTTAATTGCACTCGCCTAAAGGCTCGTGCAATTACAAGAACTTTCAAAACATTACTCGTTTCTATTAATTTCCAAATTGTACTCGAGACCGTGCGATTTCCTAAACAAATTGTTTTCAACTTTGAATATAACGTAAAATTTCTTAATGGCGTACTCAGTATTGACGTCATAAAAGCCGACGCAACAAATGTCAATCGATCTTTTTCAAGATGCGCGAGCGCTGTTAAAGTATCGTGTGCAGCTCAGATTCGAAAACTATTACTAGTCCAGCTGATATCGACCTGAGCCCAGTTGTACGAAGGGTGGGGGATAGCACATTATTTAAAGGATAATACTTATGCAGTGGGGGGGAGGGGGGGGATGGAACGGGGGAAGTATACAAGTATACAACATATGCTCCTTGGTATAGAGGTTTTGTGCCATTCACGTGACGGCATGCTACATGGCAGGAGGTCTTGCATAAGAAATAATTCAATTCTTAAGAGCAAAGAGATTTTTATTGTTCTGCCACTCTAACTACAGGTAGCCCAAGCAGTATTATGAGTTGGTCACAATTTTTGCCAGTCTACTTGTTGAATGCTAATAATTAACACTTATTGATTTGGACAGAGGGAAACAGTGTGCTTTGTGGTCCCGAGACGGCGACGTTTCACGAGGCGACGTTTCACGAGGCGATGACACTTTCGCAACAATTTCTTGGATACTGCGCATATTGCGCAGACGTTTTTACGGTTTGCAGCAACTTTTATTAATTTGCAGCAATTTGGATTTACTTGCAGTAGCTTTGATTTGTTTATCTTATTTTATTCAATATTTCAACAGGAACATCTAATTTAGCACAGGCTAGTTTAAATAGAGTCATGTATAAAATAAATATGATTACAAAGTAAATAAACACTACATGAATTATACAAGTTACATGATATAATGATACAATAATAATCCAAAACTAGACAATGCGCATAAGTATTTCTTGCTTTTAAAATAGCCCTTGGCCTTTTGTTTATTTGCAGCAAGTTTTACTTGTTTGCAGTGTGAGCCACCGTAATTATGTGCTACATAAGAACTTCCAATGGTTATCATTAATTTCCCATCATGTGCGATGTTAGTAGGCTTTTTCTTTCTTTCTTTCTTTCTTTCTTTCTTTCTTTCTTTCTTTCTTTCTTTCTTTCTTNTCTTTCTTTCTTTCTTTCTTTCTTTCATGAATGTACGATGGTCAACATTATCATATTGCGTGTTTGTAGAGTTGACTTTATATGACCTCACTAAGTTTTCATATCAATAAAATCTTCCCTTTATATATACTATTATTGTGTTAGAAGTATTTCTATTGACCACTGAATTCCTTCGAAGGTAACCGGAGTCGCTATAATTGTATACGGTTATTTTTCTCCAGCAGAGTAAAAACTGAAAGCTTGGAAACAAACAAAAAATAGATTAAAACAGCACACTGCTGGTAGCAGTGACGAACACAGCTCATGTTTACTGCATGAAACATCTGTCTGAAGGAAAAATACAAGCTTATATAACGAGGAAAAATGACTCTGTCTAAAATATATTGCTAACCGAAATTGTTCAAAAAGTAGTCATAAATTGATACGATTTAGAAAGAACTATTTTTGAAAGAACTTTTTTTGAAAATTATATCCGAAATGGGCCTAAATATTGCGTCAGAAGTTGCTACGTGAATCGCACGAAATTTCGTCCATTCAGCGATCACCACGAGCTACCGTCCCAATATTATTATGTTATCGTCACGTGACCGTCGTTCATGACACTCGAATAATTTGGAGCTGAAGCAAGGGCAGGTGTTGTCTCGGCGAGAACTAGATGAACAATTCAACAAAGTATTTCATTCGTTTAGAAGAAGGCAAAGAGTTTGGCGGTTTCGTATCGAGGTATTTAGAGATCTGATGCATTGTAAAGTTCCATTTTCTAGAGTCGACATATCAGAAAGCTCGTTCCATCCCGTCCCCTCCCCCACTTCGGAATCTTAATTTCATCCGGGTCCCTATGTTTCTGCTGAAGAGAAAAAATGTTGATAAACAGTACGTGGCGAGAGACGAAAATATTTTAACTTTTCTCAGTTTTCCCCTTAAAATACTGCTCAAGAACACGGTCCAAAGCTCTAAGAATAATTAATTATATTATTTCTAGTCTTCTGAGGACACAAGAAGTCATCTTTCAGTGAAATTCCTCGCTTTTAAGCGAGACTTCTTGGTTAAATTTTTGAAGATGGACGGCGGAGGAGGAGGTCCCGGTGATGGCGGCTTTGATCCTTGTGAATGTATCTGTACTTATGATGGAGCTATGCGAAGACTTATCTCTCTGGTAAGTTACTATACGCTTGTCATTGCCATTGCAATTAATCAAAGGTTATTTTACGAATTTCTTTCTAATTACTTGTCTTAGGAAGCCAATGTTTACAGTGCGAGTGAAGGTGTTGTTTGTTATCGTTGTTCCTAACGTTTGCTTCAAGAAAATTTATATTTCCTTTCAGCTAAGAAGTTCACAGAGCTACTGCACAGATAATCAGTGTTTACAAGAGTGTAAGTTTCTCCCTTTTTAAGTCTAGACATCATAATTTTGACAGGCCTTGCTTCACTACTGCTTACTTTTTTCCTCAGTTTGTTATGTCTTATTTATTTCTTATCTGAGTTATATTTTGCGCAATATTTTTTCTTAGGTTTACAAATAATCTCCATTGCTAAGACCAGATTTTTCGAAGAGATCTTTTGGATGTCAAAAAACTATTGCACGATGTTAAAAATTCATTATTATTATTATTATTAGTGCACTCTAAAAATAATAATAATAATAAGATACAATCAATCATAAATTGCTATTTAAAATGCAAATGATTTCAGGATAATTTACAAGACCTTTAAATGTTTTTTTTTTTAACTCGAGTGCCATGATTTTACTAAAAGTCTAAGCTTATATTGTTAAAACAAGTTGGTAATGGTAGGAAAACATCATTACGAGTTTATATTTTTCCTACAGTGTGGCTAGAATATTAGTCTTTGCATTGAGAAAGGGACTGAAGCAAAGTGGAAATATTAATCTATTAATAAATGATGCCCATCCCAAAAAAGATCATACTATAGAAGTACTATTACCGAGTTTGGGCATGTTTGAATAAATACCTACTGGGTCTTAAAGTCGCAAAAAATAAGAGAGAATATGTGCTCCTGTTTACAGTTCCATTCAGTGACCACAAATGATAGTTTCAAGTTGAGGCTGGAGTTTCTGTGCATAGCAAAACTACAGTTTATCATAAGCGGCAACTCCAGCCTCGGCTTGGAATTTTTATTTGTGGTCAGTGAACGGAACTTTAACGTCAGGTATTTCGGAAAGCCTAATTGAATTTTTTAACATTGCCACTGTTTTTTTTTGGCTAAGTTAGGGCTGATTGAGACAACAGTCGCCACTGGGAAATAGGGCTCTAGACTACCGTCACTCAAATACCTTTATATACAGAATAAGTTGTGAAGTATCATGAAACCAATTAAAGTCAGTGAGTCGCCAAGTGATGGAGGTTTATGATACGAAAAAAATGTGAATATAAAAGCTGTACAAAGCAATTTTACATGGTGTTTTCTGTTTATTATATATACATACTGAGATTTTCAATCTAGTTGTAATTGAAAAAGTATAAATCAATTTACTAAGTTGAACTAAGAATCAAGCAAAGGCTATTTCAATTTGATATTTAAAACACTGTTTTACAAGCGTTTATTCAACAAACTTCAGTCGGTTTAGCATGCCTTATTCCCTAGATTTATTTACCATGATATGATGTCAACAGTTGGTTAGAATGTTATGTGCTAAGTTTGTTGAGACATTTTCAGCATTAAAATTATAAGACAAAAAATGAGACTCTTTATTTAAAAAGGAATTTCATGGCTAATTTTTTTTTTCTTTTTATTTATTTGTTTTTTTTCTTTTAATTTTTTTTTTTTTTTCTTTTCTAGCAGTGATTTCATTGTTATTAGTTAGTGAGGGCTGCCGTATATGAGGATTCAGTTCTTCCCTGGCAGCACCCTTTTTGCTACTTTTTTTATATTATAATTTGTTTGCAAATTAAGTTATTATAAATAAATGAATAAATGAAGTGTTCACTGTGCATTCTGCCCAGTATCTCATTACAAGGAAGAAGATCAACCACACCTAATCATGATGACCTTAAACAAATCATAGATAGTTTCCAACAAAAACATGGGATCCAAAATATGCTTTGTGAGTGAAACTTAAAAAATATATCTTAAAATATAATATTGTAAACACATGATAATTGCCATAGGATTTTTGGTTTTTATTTTTAAGCAAAACTGCACCTACTGGCTTGTATGCTCTTAATTTCCTTGATGTATACTTGTCTGTCTGTCTGCCTGTCCATCCATAAATTGAATGTCTACTGACTGCAGCTGTATGGATGTTTTCATACAGAATAAGATGTCCAGTGAGCTTTTGCTTCTTTCCTAATTGATATGTAGGGTCAAAAAAGCCATATATACTTGTTGTCTATACTGTAAGTAGTAATTGCAAAGTTACATGAACTGGATTTTTTCCCAATCTCTTATTCCATTCTTACCTTTAATTAATACAGCTAGAAAAGAGTTGAGAAAAATTGAAACAAAATTGACCTTTTATTTCTTGAATCAATAAAATTTAATTACTATTTTTTACTGAAATGGTATGACAGCAAAAGATTTTAAACCAGTTACTGTTTGAATATACAAGTAATTATATGTTAATTTGATTGATCGTAAACTACTGTACACTTGTAATTCACTATCACTTGATAATGGAGTCAAGATGACACCGAAACGTCGTGAAGTAAAAACTATCCTATCGCTTTCCTCTTTACAAATATACTAGTTTCCTAAAATATCAAAATCATTTTTATACAAGCTTTATTTATACAAGCGTGTTTTTCTAAAAATATAAATACAAGCTGTGTTAGTATTTTCACCTTGTTCCTTTTGTTAGTATTCTGATAGCTAGGCTGTTAGGGTATTAGTAAAATTGTGTTTGTAATTATTATATTATAAGTAGGAATGGAAATTCCAATTAGTTTGACAAAATACACATCCTACTTTTTTAATGCAATATTCTTACTATTTAACTGACTTCTTAATTTCATTCCCACTTGGTGCTTTACTAAACTGTAGTCATATGCATAAGTGTCGGGAGACTGACTAAACATGCCTTGCATTTATTTACTCATGAAATAAATTGTTTTTATAGGCATAATGCACCCCAGTTGGGTTAGTAAAATGTGGTTGAACTGAGAGGCAATCTTCAACTCTAGTTGTAGTCAATACAAATAAAAAGTTCATTGTTTAAAAAAAGATGTATTTTAGATAGATAGATAACTTTATTTAACGTCAATATGATGTACGATGAGTCACATGAACACATTCATGCTGATATAAAATCTAATATAAAAATATATAAATATGAATATTAGATAAATTAGATAGATAGATAGATTTATTCAGAAAACACTGCAGCCCATAGGTTGAATTGTATTTATGTTACATATGAATATAATAAATAAAATTCAAATAATTCAAAATTACAGCTATAAGGCAACTGATGACTACAAATTCAAATTATAATAGAAATTTAAAATTATAAGAAAAATTCATGTACTTTAAAATCCATATGTTTACTAAATTATGCATGTTAAATTATGTATGAATTGCATAAGTTAAAATTTATAAAGCTTAACTGAGTTCTTTTTGTTGAAGTCTTAGGATTGGAAAATGACGATGTTCTTCATAAATCATATGAGCACACAATTTTTTTGGTTAAAGCGACTCCCATACAGCCACCACACAACATATATAAGTAGCTTTATAAAAGCCGTGCACACCCACAGGAAATATGTGAAACATTCATACTTCTAAGAGATTAAGTTGAGATGTTCTTGTAATAAGCGAAGTTCTTTATCCATGATATTAAACTTGTTATTAATAATTGAAGGAAATGTTGTAAATATCGAGAATATACCTAAATGCAATTTAACTCTAATGTTCGTCATTGTTACATTAGCACTATGTGGCACTGCATGATCATGTACATAGGTAAATCTTTATGGCGCTATTGAAGAACTTCCAAAGTCAAGATATCTAAGTTCTGTAGGGAGATAATGAGAAAAAAACAAACGTACTGTGATATATATAAGATATTGTGAAATACCTATTTGTAGTTATGAGAAATATTAATGTTAAATATGTGAAATACTGTAGATCGATTGAATCATATAGTCTATACATCACACACCCACCAAGAATGCACACAGCATCCATAGAGCCACCACAAATAGAAAATATGTGGAAGCTTTACAAGAAACAAGCCCACCCACAGCAAATATACAAAGCATCTATATATATTTATGGTAGATATGAAAAAATACTTATATTCAGGGTTCGTGCTACTCCTTGAAATCCTTGAAAAGTCCTTGAATTGAAAACACTTTTTTAAGGGCACTTGAAAAGCGCTTGAAATCCTTGAAAAGTCCTTGAATTGAAAACACGTTTTTAAGGGCGCTTGAAAAGCTCTTGAAAATAGGGAAAAACGCCAAAACTCCTGGAAGACTCCTTGAATTTTATGCAAACTTAATGCTATTTCTAACTTTTCTTTTAAAATAAATAACAAATAAAATTGATGGAAGAGTTTGCGTATATTTCGTAAATAGCCTAGCTGAATATCTGGTAAGATTGCGTATATTAAAGATCTATTTATCTTAATTAGTGGCTGCGGCTGAATTAGCTGCACTGTGACATTGAATCAATGTTTAAAAACATGTTCTAATACAAAAAACCTTGTCCTTGAAAATCGAATTTTAGTGCTTGAAAAGTGCCTAAAAAGTCCTTGAATTTTATAACGAAAATGTAGCACGAACCCTGTATATTAAAAAGGTATAGTTAACCATATACAACCTAATAATATAACTCTAGCAGTATAACTCTATTGTTCACAGATGTATTTAAACATGCATTTTCTTGTTATTTGTAGTACCTGGACCACAGAGCAATGACACAGGACCAGAGACCAATACCACACTGTTTATAGTGATGATATGGATTGCCATTGCATTTATTCTTTTCTTGTTGAGGTAAATAATATCATTTAGTAAGGATGTCATTATAAATTTTAATCCTCATCAAACTGAGTTGGGTTGAATCAGCTGAGTACGTAAACCCCATAAGAAAGCCATGGTCATGCAATAAATAGGAAAAGGAAAGGAATGACTGAAAAGCAAATCTCAAGTTGAAATATGCAAATTATCAAGGGGGTATAGGCAGGGGGGGAGGGGGAGGGGGCAATGGCAGTGCTTTTAGAATTTATACAGTAATTTTAATTTTCTTAATTGTGCAAAAATAAAATCACTGCCAGTTTTTTTTTTGTTTTTGTTTGTTTGTTTTGGGGTTCCAGTGGCCAAACAAAATGGCTGATTTATGAATTCGGGCCCCCCTTCGGAAAATTTTGGCTGTGCCTCTGATTATGTATCTTTTGTTGTACATCTTAGGCCACAGAGATTAAGACAAGGAGGAGACAAGCCATCAAGTCATGATGTAAGTGTAATTATACTCTTGCGGATTTAATTGTTTTTTGATAAGGTAATCTTTTAGTTCCATCCCATACCACAGGGATTTTGCTTCTAACAGCCCAAGCCACTTAGCCATTCAGCGAACATTTTGTTCGTAGTTCAATATTTCCTTGTTCCAGGTTTTTGGCTCAATAAATTGTAAACAACAGCTTTTACTCAAAATTAAAGTAAATAAACATATTTGTGCAAAAATATGGCACCTTATATCTGGTACCACCTTAATCAGCTCAGTTGGTTGGATACCAGTCTGTTATGTGGGAGGTTGGCAGTTCAAACCTCCAGGGCTGTACTAACACTCAGGGTCTTAGAATATCTATGTAGAAGGTGCTTCCTTTGCTATAAAAATATCTGCATATGGTTTAAGACCTTGGCCGTAATCTTCATGACCGTTTAAAATGGATATTTTGTCTCACTTTAGAGACGAGAAGCAGAGATGTCCCACACGTTTATCATTGCTAAGTTGGCAACTGTAACTTGTCTGCCCCCCCCCCCCCCTAAGTAAAGACGATTATCATTATTAGAATTATCTTTTAGAAATAGCATATTTCATAGTTGTTGGTGGAAAATACTTCGTTTTGACTAAAACCTAATAAAAAATACTTGGAGAATTTTGGCTGTGACAAATAATGCATTGCGCACCCAGATTTCAAATCAACTGGGCCCGGTTGTACGAAGCCTGGATAGCGCTATCTGACGGATAAATCTTATCCGGTGGATAAATTTATTGGAAAACAGCATCGACTTATCCACTGGACAAGGATTTATCCGTGGGATGCGCTATCTAGGCTTCGTACAACCGGGCCCTTGTTGTATTTTTTTACCCAGTTTCAATTACGTACAGATTTAAAGCTTATAACGCTAAGAAATCTCACATATCCTTTCTTATGTTTTTTCTTCTTTTTTTCTGTCGTAGGGACATGGTCAAGATCCTCCAGCCCCAGGTGTTTTCTAATTCTAATTATTTATTTATCAAACACAGTTTAAGTTTAAAATGTACATTACCTAGATAAATATTTAGCTTTAAAAGTCTTTCGCATGGCATATAAGGCACACGTTTTAACCCCGCTTGTAAAAATGGTAAATTTACGGATCCGAAATAGTTCAACCAGCCAATAGGCCCTTTGCAGCTAAGCAATCACGTGCTGATTAATTCACTGAGTGCAGATGGATAAACATTTTGATTCCCATGGGTGAAATTTACTGGAGAGCAAACAAACTTTCTACAACCTGTTTTGAGAGATCGTAATAAAACTGCATTTCGTAACGCACTGGATACACATCTCTTCATTCAGTTCTTTACAAGTAGCTAAAAAGACTCACCAATTTAATATAAAAACAAAAATTTTGCCCTCCAATATAGGTACGTGACCGTTAACTGCAAAGGGCCTATCAGAGTACTCATTGCATTATGACATTGCCTGGTTTGTAGTGACAGGACGTACAATACCAACAGTAAGATTAACACGAAGAAATGTGTTATTCACTTTTACACCTATGGTGAAAAGGTTGTCATGGTAGATATAATTGTCACAAAAGAACGAAGGGAAAGGACACTGAAAAAATATTAATTTATCGATTCCTTCAAAAATTAAGCAAAAAATAAAATATCACAAGTTTATTCTGAATGCATCATTAATGTATTCATAGGTTTCCATGCACATTATATGACATGCGAGGAAAACATTGTAAATCACCCCAAACATATAATGAGATATAAAGGACAAATTGTACATTATTTTGTTTTATGGCGGCCGTAAATCCACAAAATAATTTGATTGAAATTTTCTCTTAAAAGGCTTAAGGCTTAGACCTCACACCCAATAGTTATTTCCCAATTTACTTGAGTGACCCCAAAACAATGGCTCCAATTTGAGGCTGGGCTTCTTATGTTTATACGTTTACTGCACTTGATCAAGTCCAACATCAACTTGAAGTCATCTTCTTGTGATCATTCAAGTGAATTTGGGAAATTTATACAATAATATGTATTATATTACAATTTACGATTTTGTTATGTATAGTTGAATTGCATCACAGGCCCATAGAGTCCCACATAGCATCGTTATTTGTTCTGTACATACGGTTAATCTATGGATATTGAATTATTTACATCAAAAGAAAAATGCTTCCTTGTTATTCGCACGCCTGGGCTGTCATTGGTTCTTAGTTAATGGTTATTTATGAGAGGCAAACTTTATGACAGTAGAGTAAGCCGTTGTGGAAGGTGTGGACAAGTCTTTTGTTTTCCTTGCCTAACTGTTGGATCAGCCATTGATATACACACTGCAGCCATTTTTTGTCTGCGGTTTGTCCATCGGATTTTAGATTTTGTTATAGTGAAGCATTGCAGTGTATACAGTCATTTGACTAAACGTTGTCGTTTGATCGGCTTCATCCCTACGCGCCTAGACCGAAAAGGATCATAGGAATAATTAATTCACAGTTACTACTTGCCGCACATGTTATCTAACACGTCTTGAGCTCGCTTTTTTCGATCCCATTTAATTTGCTGAAACCATGCCTACGGCATCCTTTTCGGTCTAGGCGCGTAGGGATGATCCGATCAACGACAACGTTTAGTCAAAGGACTGTATAATGCTACCATTAAACGCAACCAAGGGTCAATATGATCCGTGCAATGTACAACGTCGCAGTTCAGTCAAGTTAAAGAACGTAAACTTTCTTCAACGTCTTGCTTTTCAGTTTTTGCTAAATGTAAATAAAAAACGTAACGGGGTTGCAATTCAAAATAGTGATAACTTTGTTTCTAGCAAAGAAAGTGGAAGTGAGAAAAATCTTCATTCTTCTTCCTTTTAATTTCTCTTCACTATTTACCTTCCTAGATCTCCTGAGAACGAGTTCCCGTTCACTCTTTTGTTGTTTTACGTATGCATTACTCGAAAAATTAAAAAAAATTGTCATTTACCGTGACCAGCCAAATTAACCATACTCTATATTCCCGTAGTTTTGCAATTTAAGTGACATAGTGAACGCTACAAAACAGATGTCCCAGCTTCTGGTTGGATAGCGTGTACCGAAAAAAGTCAATTGGTTGGGCAGACCCTGGAACACGGTGTTTTAAATTAGAGTACCTTTCTTAACCCCTAAATCAATATTTTATATTTGTACTATTGTTTCTACAAGAAGTGAATAGTTGTTGAATGGTAAAATATTTTNTAGACAAACATGCCCATGTTTATTCGTATAAGATATTCCTCGATTTACCTACTAAGCTCTGAAAAAGGCATATTCAATTCCTACGTTTGAAAGGGAACTTGGTTAAAAAAGCTAATCTACAATGTTAGTTAAACTGCAATGCGTATGTTAACAGGAAAAAAAAGAAGGGTAAAAAAAAAAAAAAAAAAAAAAAAAAAAGAAGACGGCCGGCAGCATCTAGCAGCACTTCGCCCGCGCGAATGGCGTCAGCATTGTGCTTCGTTCACTAATAAAGCACAGTTTTCGACCAATCAGCCCGCGCGTACTTTCCAAACTACATGGAACTGTAAGATGAGTTAACTAATTCCTTGCATAACGACAAACCAGTGGATTGAAGCAAATACTTATTAAGTTTAACCTCGACTTGAAAAAACCCGCCATCGTCCCTGACCATGCCAGTCAAGCGAATTCTCGGGAACGGTCTATGGATGAATAATTTATGTCACTATATATGTAATGAATGCATACATGTAGCTTCTTTGGAATCATTTTAAAAAGGAAGACTGAAAAACAAGAATACCAAATCTAATCATTATATCTTAATGCCAATTAAACTATGCTAAAGATGAGATGCTAAATGACTTTCGCCAGTCGGACACAGACATAAGCATATCAGGATGCATTATACACCTAATTAAAAAACGTCGGGTTCAAAACAAGGTTATCATCAAAGCTAAGACCAAAGGGGAGCATGGGAAGACAAACAATTATGCTAATTTCGTGCATATTGCAGATTTTCCCTTCCTGTGCACATTTTATGCATCATGGTTTTGGCATGTTGTTAATCTAGGTCGACCGACTTTGCTCTACTGTGCATTTTTACATGTCTATAAATGTAATACACATTTCGGAGTACCCAAAATCCATTTTGGTCTTAGCTTCGATGATATGACCTTCTCGAACCCGACTAAGTTTTTCCAATTAGGTGTATGCATTAAGCCTATAAAGTAGTTCAATGTTATTACTCGAACAGTATGTACAAAACTCCTTAGATTTTTTTCCCTAGACATGTTTCGCGGCAATTTAATTAATGTTATCAGTTGTGAGGAAAAAAGGAAAGGTAAACCTGCCATTATACATATGGTCAAGAATAACAAAAGAACTGGTGTGTTATCCTAAGCTATGATTAACATGCTCGTGTTGTTGGTTGAGCCAGGGTTTATGCCAACTGATGTACAGCAATTCTTTGAGTTTTTGAGTAAATTTATGAGAAGCGTGAGCTATTTGATCTTAGTGATTACGCGTTTGTATGCTTCTGAGTTGTTTCAGGTGTTTATAGATGCGACCCTATGTTCAACAGTATATATGTAGGTGGGCAACTGCATTGTTTTTGCTGTATCTCTTCATTGCAAAAACCAGTCATTCTATAGTACAAAGATGTAATAATCATCATTCTGATAATATAGGTACAGAGCCTAAGTAAAATTGAGACCTTCTACTGTACATAGATGATCCCGTTGAGAAAAAACATGGGATATTCATTTCCAACCCTCCAAAAAGAAAGTCTTGAATATATCAAAATATGTCAATGGAGCTGCATCCCTAACCTTCATTTTTTTTTAGATCACAGGGGTGGATCCAGGATTTTGTTCAGGGAGGCCACAAATTTAACCCAGGGAGGGGTGCACCCCTTAGAACCAAAGGGAAAAATAGTATTGGTTATCTTCAAAGTAGGGGCACAAAGTGGAACGAGGGAGGGGTGCACAYCCCCTGCACCCCTCCCCTGAATCTGCCCCTGGATCATGAAAAATGTAAACTATAGATAGCACCCCCTCTAATCTCACTCTATCTCTGGCCATAGATATATAATGAATCCTGTTCCCTTTAAAACTATGGTACAACTAATTTTCAGGAAATAAAAACAGATCACAGAAAAACTGATTTAAAAAATATATGCAGAATCCTATCCTTTCAGGATAATACTAAGTAAGTAAGTCTCCTCTACAAAGATGAAGTATGGTTGAGCGTAAAGTCTAATCATCTCCTCCACCCCCAAACCCTTAATCCTCTCCAGGACCTGGACCCTCACGACTGGGACGTCTAAATCCATCTCCACCACCACCACCGCCTGACTGAATCGCAGGTTGCTTGAATGTAGCAAGATGTTTTTTGCAGTTTGGACAAAAGTGAGAGGCATCTTTTGAACAGTCCATGAAGAATGGCAAGCAGCAACAACTAAAATAAAAAATAAAGAACAACATACTTAGAATATTAAAAGAAAAAATTAAATAAATTGTCCATGTTCAAAAGGGCAGGCCTTTAAAGCTTTACTTTCACGACCTATATTTAATGATCACTGTCATGGTATTCCAGGTAGGTACCAAAACAAATCAATTTAAGAATACATTGTTTGTCTACATTAGTGCCTGAAATTGCCTAGTGTTCATGTCTGCCTGTGATATTTTTCACAGGGATCAACACATCTCAGAATTAAGCCAAAAGATAACAGACCTATTGGTCCTTGATAAGTCCAGGATTGCCAAATGGCGAAAAAGGGTGCAGACACATGGTGGGATATTGCAAGCGACGTTGTAGGAGTAAAAGTAATTTCTACTTCTGTTACATCACCTACTATGTGCTGTTTACATGATGTTCTCTGGGAAATGTTCTTTCAAAGATTTTCATATCCACATTAATATGAATGAATAATTTTCAGAAAGATACAGTAAAGGAACAATTTTCTAAAGAACATCATGTAAACATCACATGGTTTGAAATGGGCAATTTACTTATTATGAAGGTAAAGGTCTATTGAGTGTATTTCTGCAATGTTGAAACTAGTACTACTGAATCAACTGTAGCATGGAAATGCAAAAGAAAGAAAAAAAGACATGCCATGGTCTTGCTCACAAGCATGTTTGTCATTACTTCACAGCAGTATGAGAAAAGAGCAAACTAGGAGCCTTTTTAGGCCATGGTTAATGAAATCGCAAAGGACAAACAAAGCAAATATAAAATAAACATAAAGTACAAAAATAACATGACAGCCTGTATTAACCTAGGAAAAGAGAGAAAAAGAAAAGAAAAGAAAAACTTCAGCAATGTTTCCAATTTGCACATGCCTTTAAAATGGCAGCTGAATATATTGATATTCGGAGCGTGCAATGGTATGTTGTTTTTTTTCAAGCTTTTCCACACTATGGTGGGTCCTACACAGATAGTATTTCAACAAAATCCTTTGATCCCACCATTTCAATTGAAATAAACTGATCAAGATTAAAATTGTGATAGGTAAATCAAATGCTCTAGAGATTGATTTGATAGACAGCTACTCCATTAGCAGCTGATCTCAATCAACATACATACAAATAAAAACAATGGTAATTCCTGCAGCAAGTGATAGATATATGTCTGACTTTTATGATACTCTATGAGGAATAGTAATCGATCATTAAATGTTGATATTTTGGTGTGATGCATTTTAAAAATTTTGAACGTTAACAATCTTTTAAATACCCACCAAACAAAAGAGAAGAATAAACAATGAATGCACGTTGTTGTTCCTATTTCACGCTCAACCTTTGAATCAACTACTGCATGGCAATGAGGACATTGGCATCGGACTGATGCTTGTTCAAATCTAATAGGCTGGGGTTGGACGAATACAGCTGGTGCCTAGATGTAAAAAAATTATATGAATTTAATTGCGGCTATTTAGCAATTGATGGGTTGCAAGCATTCCCAAGAGAGTTATAAGACAAAAACATGGCGGCCATTGTGGTACTGTTAACAATGGATGCTAATGAGAAATCTTTTGTTAAATGATACCAACATGGCCGCGATGATGTAACCTGCAATCGAAGAATATGCTAGATCTGAAGCCCGAATGGTCTAAGTTGACTCAAACCATAAAGGTGAGAGGTATACTTATTTAGTCTAAAGCTACACATTGGACAAATAAATAGATACACAAAATTAGGTTGAAAATTGACTTAGCCACCTCCCATTTTTGGGGTTTTTTTTAGACCCCTAATAGCTAGCTCAGCCACTACAGATTTTAAATAGTACAGGTTTATATTAATTACTATATTTTCAGGACACAATAAAAAATTCAAAAGAACTTTAGACAATGTCATATAAACATATTTATTAGTTATTTAGTATTTTAGGCAAAACATACATAGTTCGTAATGTCCAAATGTAAACATGAACACGACATTTGACATTTATTTGTGATCTTTGCAAACAACATTTACAACAGAATCTACAGTTGGATGGATGTGAACCAATGTAATTCATAATCAATATATTTATAAATTTGGTTTATTGAGGGCTCTAATTATTATATCAAACACGAACCTGTGGTTGTCCTGGTTGAACATATCCTTGATGTTGGCCTGGTTGATAATAGGCCTGTTGCTGCGGCTGGTACGGTGGCTGTGGAGATGGCTGATATGCTACACCTTGTGGAGGAGGGTACTGTGCTTGTGGATATCCTTGGTTTTGAGGAGGGTAACCTTGGTTTTGAGGCGGATAACTCATTGTTGTCTCTCTAGTCGCTCAGACGATCTATTAAACATCCAAGCTTTATGGAGCTATTTACATGCGTGAGGCTTCGAATTATGAAGCACAAGGTTTATAATCACAACTACGAATGCGAGCTTTCAAAAGATCTGAATTATTAAAGGAAAAAGGTGGCTTTTAGTCAATCAGAAAACTGATGGAAGCACCATTTAGCTCATACTTTTAGCCTTGTCAGCCTTTTGATCGTTCTTCTGTTTGCACAGCAGTGTCACGGTAGATGCGCAGTGTGGGTCAATGGTGACGTCATGCGTTTGAATAGCGCAGCGCAACCGTGACGTCATAAAAACGAAGACAAAGGCGAAATTCGGACAAACAAACTTACAAGTTTACTTTCAGCAGATAACTTTCATAGCCGATCGCAGTTGATCTTAATTTACATGGGTTATTGTTGTAACTTTAAGTAAAAATGATAAAATCGGTTCGTATAATCCTCGTAGCGGTTAAACAGAATGCAATGTTTGTCCGAATCTTTAAGCTATTTTTAGAATCAGCGCGCTGCGCTATTGGAACACATGCCCATCATTAGTTTGGTGACGCACTATCCGGCTTGTATATCCTTGAACTCTAGCTTGAGCAAGAGAAAAAAATCCCAAGGCAAAGAATTTGAAAAGAAATCTAAATTAATGTCCCCAGTAAGTTCTGTTTTAAACCTGTAGAGGTTTCAAAATGAATGAGTTACTAGGAGCTACTACTATCCGTGCTGCGCCATTCTCGTTCCCAGATCCTCCTCGGTTGTCGTCCCTGCCCTCACTCAGGGGCTCTGGAAAAYCCTACTACCGAAACCAAGGAATATAAAATAAAGAAATCCTATTCATTTTATCATTCAGTGTCATCCAACAAGAGATGTTCTCTTGATCCAACTAAGAGTGGAATTTTTATTTTTTTCATTTATTTTTCAAGATACGATCTTAGATTATTACTAGTGTAGTTTTACTTAGAAATTTCAGAGCGACGTCGTTATGATTCGAAAAGATGAATGAAGCAATAGTTTTTATCAATGCATTTCAAATCTCTTTCCGCGCCTTTTTTCTTTTTTCTTTTTTCTTTTTTCTTTTTTCTTTTTTCTTTTTTCTTTTTTCTTTTTTCTTTTTTCTTTTTTCTT